ATTTCTAAGGAAGGGAAGAGAATGATATTCATATATATATTACTGATTTTTTTTCCCTAAAACAGAGAAAATCTTTTATTAAGGTACTTTCTGGAAAAATGTGAGATGCAAAACAAAAAAAATGAGAACCTTATTGTGTACAATGTCTAGAATGAGAAATACAAGTAAATATAAAACTGAATTTTTAAAAGACCTAAATATGATTATCAGGCAATTTAAGTGTCATGAATAATTCTTACAGGTAAAATAGAAAGTACAAAAATTATATTTTTGTTTCAAATAAACAGGATACATATAATTTTAAGAATTTAAATGTTTCCGTCAAAATCACAGAATGACAGAGACCAAGCCCAGACTTCTCTCACTTGTACTTACAAGCATAAAACTAAATCCCCAGAAAGTGACATCAACCTCTGTGTTGAAGTAGCCAAATAAGTTTGCTTCAAAATTCAAATATAGCTGAATATCAGGAAATCTACTAACATAAGTTGTTCTTAATAGAAAGAAATAATCATTTCTTCTGGATATCTATTTATTTCAATAAAAACATCATCCAATCCTATTTAATTAAATTAATAAGCTAAGAAAAAGAATAATGAATAAAGAAGATATTGAACATGAATGTCAAACCAGTAACCATTTCATTTAATTATTGGACACTGAGAGTCGTTCTTATTTTGAAGTTAGGGTCTTAGAGAGGATGGTCATGGAATAATTATTCTTAAATATTATTCTCAAAAGCCCAGCCAACATTATAAATATGGTAAGAACAAAAGTGAAGAAAGTTAATTTTCAAAAATTTTAAATGCATTGAAAGAAAAAAATAGAAAAATCCATGGAAAAAATTTCAGGTATGACCAAAGAATTCAGTGAAGTTACTAACCAAAATGAATCCAGAAATTCCCTATAAAATTATGACAAAATTGAGAAACATATAATGAAACAGACATTTTTTTCTGAGTTAACAAGAAAATTCACAACATTAGGTTTAAAAGCTTTTGTGACTTATCAAGAAAAGATGCAAAAAGAGTCCCTATAAGGCTTTATCGATGAACATCAACGACCTGAATAAAGGTAGAAAAATAACGATTTTGAAAAAGTAGTATGGGTAAATGGCCAATAGGCCAGATAATATATCACTGTAATACAAACAAAATAAAAATTCCAATGGGTCAAGATTGGCAGTTAACAACTCATTATAAAAGTCATCAGGGAAAATGAAGGGAATGTAGGAAAGCACACTTTTAAACAAATACTAATGAGGTAATGCTTTCAATATCATATATCTAAGTAAAAAAGATGTATTAAAATTATGTACTCCTAGCAGGTGGAAAATGGAACAGAATATAAAACTAAAAATATGCCAAGGTCCATATACATGTATATTCTACCTATATATGGCATTACATTACATGTGACAAGACTAAACAATGATAAAGGGTGTATTATTCTAAAATGCAAAATGATTCAATAATAAAAAGCACAAAACAAATTAAACTATGTAAATAAATACATCATAAATCTTGACAGTGGTTACCTGGATGATTAGAATATGGGTGCTTTTTTGTGTGTCTTCCAAAGACTATTTACTCATTTAGAAGAAGAAAATTGCACTTTTAAAAACTTAAAACAACCATCTTTAAATTGTAAAAATGCATGTATTTTCTCTAAGGTTTACGTAAAGCTTGTTTCTAGACAATCAAAAACACTATATCCTACGTAGATGTCGGGTGGGGGGAGCCCAGGCTAAAGCTTCACCTCTAATTTTGGAAAATACATGAGATACCACGCTCCCACTGCTGCACAACACCGAGATCTGGGCTTTCTCTTGTTATTAACGGAGGGACAAATGGAGATAGGGCTGCTTGGCTGAGAAGGAGGAAAGGCAGTGGAGGGACACAAATCGAGATGAACAGGAGCTGACTCGGCAGAACTGTTAAATGACTTCGCAAAAGACCCGTCACACTGGATAAACGGCAGCCCCAGAAGAAGCAGTTTAGCACTCCCGCAGTGCACACAATTATTCCAGGAATAAGAATGAAAGGAGGGAGAGAGGAAAGAGGAAAGGAAAGGAGATCAAAAGATGCTGTAATGAGTCTGCAGACTTTTCTTAAATCAGCTGCTGGGCAGAAGAGGACTATAAAAGAAAGCCCAAAGCAGAGAGCTTGTACTTCATTTCACTGGGCAAACGTCCACCACTTCTGCTCATGAAAAATGGTAAGTTCGTCTGTGGATGTTGACTACACTCTAATTGTTTTTATGGTAAATGAGGCATGAAACCTACTGTCAGAAAACATGATGTCCACAGCAAACAGCCACAGTTTGTCTTCCTGGCAGGTCACTCTTAGGGTTGCTGCTGTCTCCCGTCAAACGCGTACCATATCCTAGCATTTTTGCCTTAGAGAGGAGTCCCCGCCCCTACTCCCCCATATCCACACACCTTTCCCCTAGTACTTCCTTCAGTGCAACCAAAAGGAAACTTTCTGAAAGATGAGGCAGGAGACAAAAGAGGGGAGAAAGGAGGCAAAGACCTCTCTAAAACATATGGAGAGTTGTATAGACCAACATTTTTATACTCTGTATTTTAATGAGAATTCTGAAGCTCATTAAAATCCTAGGATCAGATCTGATGATTATTGTATTTCTGGATTTAACCCTATTCATTGGAAACTAAGCAAATAAATCCAAGCAGCCTGTTGCCGGTTTCAAGTCAATAGATTTTTATTTTATTAATTTCCCCTCTGATCTCCTTTAGGAGTGTAAATATATTAGCTCAGATATTTTCTTATCAAGAAATGATCAAGGTGATCTTTCTTCTCAACCATGTAATCTTAAGGTCCTATAAGTAGAAACCAAAATTTGTTTTGGTCAACTGCTTCACTATGATTAAGAAAATATATTGTGATACAAATCTGTGTAAAATAATTTCTCTTTCTGCCTTATACCAAACTCTATGCATCCTAAATTTCATTTGCATTTATTAAAAAAACATATTTGTTTGTTTGTTTTTTGGTACTGGAGATCGAACTCGGGACCTTGCTCTTGAGAGGCAGGCAGTGGCATCACTGAGCTAAATCCCCGGCCCTCAAAACAAACATATTAATGACATCCTATTTCTAGATATGCTGCCTGAGAAGTCATGCCTCAGTGTCCCTGGACTGACTGTACCTGAAATATTGAGAGTTGCGTGGGATGCTAGGGTAGGGACAGATAAAGCTATCTTCTTATGATAACCCACATAGCAGCCACTGTATTTGAAGCCTGACACTGAATTCTTTAGACTTGAATTAGAAAAGGCATTTCTTGGATAGATTTCTTCTTGTTCCAGTTTACAGGCAACTAATCCTCACTGCATTGGATCAAACAGATGGGCACAATCAATTCAGGGAAAGCAAGCAATGCCAGTTCTGTTCAATCTTCCCTCAATGAGCAGTGGAGGAGAGAGGAAAACAGCGAAGAATGGAAATTCAGACATGCCAGCACCCAAGATAGCTTAGCAGAGGAAAAGATGAAAAGGCACACTGAAATATATATCCTGGCAGGTGGAAGCACTTGCTGCTAGAGAGAGTCTAAAAATGCCACGACAATGCCAAACACATCAAGCCTTCAGGCAGCAAGGGGTACTGAAAGGAGAAGGGGCAGAGGGAAGTGGGTGTGATGTCAAAACTAAAGAAATCAGCAGATTGTCATGGTGCACATCTAACATCTCAGCTACCTGGGAAACTGGGCAGGAGAATCACAAGTTCATGCTTACCCTGGACAGTTCATTGACTTAGTGACAACCTATCTCAAAGAAAACTGAAAAGGGCTAGGGATGTAGCTGTGGTAGAGTACCCCTAGATTCAATGCTCAATCTTCAGCATGGTGGTGGTGGGGTAACCAGGAAAACAGCAACAGCAACTCTAGGGAAGAAGGAGGTCCAGATTTACATAAATCTCCATAGTTTATGATCTATAGCCTGTTGTGATGAGCAATTAATTACTGCCTTTAGGTAATTATTTCTCAGAGAAACCAGGGCCTTCCAAAGCAGTTTTAATGTACCTGTTAGCTCATCCTAGGCTCAACTGCTCATTTGGTGGGAAGTCAAACTGGAAGAGCAGCCTACCAGTGGCAGGAGAAAAATTAATGAAAATGAGCCAGAAATAAAGTGGCCTTGACATTGATGGTGTGCGCTCTCTGCTTTTGAATGTGAAGAGCATGATAAGCTGCCTTCTTGGTTCCAGCAGACACTGATTTCTCTCTACATTCTGGCGCTCAAAGGCAAGGGCTTAGGCATCTTTGATTCCTCTGGCCTCTCCTCATCCTCTCTCCTCCCACAAGGCCATTATTTCTTCCCTTCTTGCTCCTTGAATTTGTTTATGTCAACCCTAAAATATTTGTCCGTGGTAAAGGCATCATCGTATGGTTTATTTGGAGAATGGTTCTCCATGCCTTGATTCATCAATGATCCTCACAGTTCTCAGAGCCCCAGGCTTTCCCTGCCATGTGGTCAGGCTCTCTGAGCCAACAGTTAATCATTTCCATGCTTCTCCTCAGTTTCTGAGATGGAAGTGTACATTTCTGTTTGAGAATGGATGATTAAAACACTTCTTATCTCCAAATGCCTAGATATTGGCAGTGATGCTACCATTTTAACTATACAATAGCTCAAAATCCTATCTGTACATATATAAACACATAACTTGCAAATATATGTGTGCATAAATGAGTATGTACACCAACATGATGCATCTTCTTCATTATAATATCTATAAATAACACATTATTTAAAAATACATGATTGGTACAAGCAGGCAGCATGTCCTGGTCTTCAGCAGAAAGTAAAGCGTATCCTGATCTGGCTTTCCAGAGAGCATAACTGAAACTACTTTCATTCTACAGCTCTTCCATACTTTTTGTCTGGCAAAGACCTCCTTGACTCACCTAGTTTGCACTGCTAAGAAATGCCACAGTGGTAATACAAAGTTCCAAATTTGTTCAGGCCCCAGTGAGCATCTTACCGCTGGAGGTGGTGGTCCAGAGTGTCTTTCTCAGCATTCAGCAGAGCTGTGGCTTGAGTTAGAAGCCGATGGCTGCAGCTTACAGATTTCAGCTCCAGGATAAGGAGTCCCAAGCAGAACATGGCTCCCATCTCCTCCAATTCACTGGTGCCAAACTGCAGACCCTGCCAAACAGAGCAGTCAGCATTAGGTATGGAGTGGGGACTGAGAGGAGACAGTTTGAGATCAGAGGAAGAATGAGACCCATGCCCGTGGCAGAAATTGAGAATAGTACTTGTCTCTCATTGTTCAGTGTGTATTGTTGAGCATTTGTGGATTGATGACTTTCAGCCTGTGTCATGTAGTGTCCCCTGTTGATAATAAAAGATAGGGAAGGATGTAGGGCCAGGGATCAGTCACCACTCCCCACTGCAGCGAAAGCAGTACTGCTTTTTTTCTATATTGCTGAAAAAGGTTTCCTGCTGAAACAATTATAAACAATCTTACTAAGATGTTCTCTACACTTCAATTAAATTAATCTATCAATGGACAAAAGTAGGAAGATAATTCAAGTACAAATACTGAACTGAAAAAAACAGCAAAACAAAGTATTTATTTAAGACTACCTTTTCATGTATAATGAAATAATGAGTAACATCCAAACCAAGATATCTCTCTGGTATGGTCCATGAGTAACAGTTAATAGCACCAATTAACACAATTTCATTGAACACTTATTATGTGCCCAACATTATTATAAGCTCTTTCCTATGGATAAAGTCAGTGACTCCGTATCAAAGTTTTTTGAGGTAAAGATTTTTATTTTCTCCATTCTATAGACCAGCAAATTCAGACACATAAAACTAACTAAAGTTCTCAAGTCCTAGAAACTAGAAATTATAGAAGCTAGTAAGTGTATACTGGCTAGACTACCCCACCACAAAATTGTACACATACATCAGAGAGGCTTGAATGCATGGTAAGGTAGAAATTGGATCAGAACTGGGATGGAATCATGATTTCATTGCTTTCTGACAGCAAGATCTTGGATTTATTGAACTTTATTAGCCTTGATTTCTTCATTTATAAAGTGGGATACTAAATCTCTCCTACAGACACATAAGCATTTCATCATAAAAAGTATTTCAAAATGGCCATATTAATGCATATTAGCTGTTTCTCATTCTGTCTTCCTAATAAAAATGTTTAATGTGAAAGAATTCAATATGGCCCTAAGTTCTTCATGTTTACAAATTACTTTTCACTGAAATAAAAAAATCAATAGTAGGTTATTATTGTTAAAAAATATACTATTATATTGCATAGTATATTTTAATGATATAGCTATACATTCATTATAATAGGTAAAAGAAAGGATATCAAATCTTCCCAATACAAAGAAATGATAAATATTTGATGCAATGGATAGAATTATCTTACTTTGATCACTGTATACATTTACCAAAATACACTCTACATTGTGGCCCATAAACACGTACAACTAAGCAGGGAATGGCGGCAAACACCTCTAAGCCGGCACTTGGTAGGTTGAGGCAGAAGAATCACTGCAAGTCCAAGACCAGCCTGGGCTACATAGTGGGTACAAGGCCAACTTGAACTACATAGCGAGACCCTATCTCGAAATAAATAAATAATTGTACAACTATTATGTGATTTTAAAAATAAATTTCCTTATTAAGGGAAAAGAAAAAAATGTGAGATAATGAAAAGATGAAAATAAAGTGTTTGTAGATGGGGAGGGGAAGAGGGGGTGAAGGGAGGGCAGGGGTAAGGGGAAAAAATGAGAATCAAGACTCATCATGTAGAGGTACAAGATCCCAAACAATGAATGTAACTGTACTGTATCCCTAAAATGTACCAATTAAATTAAAGCTGAAAAAAAATAAAAAATAAATAAATAAATTTCCACATTTAAATGTTAGTGGCATAGAGAGCAAGGGTGGGAAGGAAGAATTTTTAAAGAGTGGTCGTGAGTATCCCAAGGAAAAGCCAAATTCCAAATTGTGAAATCATAAGCCTCACAAAAGAATTTCTAGATAAAACCATAAAAAGAAGTGGAAAGACCTCACTTTTGTAACAGCTGCTTGAAAATTTGATTTGCTGCATGCCTTGACACCTATTTCCGAGGAAAACAGCGATTATTTCAGAGTCAGGGCAAGTGCATTCCTCCGTAAACAGCCTCAGTTCAAGGGGGAAGCCAGATGTTGATCAAATTGTTTTCTTAAGTCAATAGAAAAAAATTACTTCTTAAAAGGAAAGAAAAACCTGGCATCTCTTTGCCTGTGCTGAAGCTGTAAGCAAGCTCTTCCTAACTTGTTTTAATTAAGGCTGATCTTCATGGTCCAGAGAAAGGAATTGAAGGTTCTACCCTCCTGCTCTGTCAGCTATCTCCTTGCTGGAGGCAAAGTCGGGTTAAGAAAAGGAATACAAGGAAGATTCCACCCCCTCAGGCACAAGTAGCTCCTCATTCACATCTGGAACCCCAACACCCAGCAAAGCACACAATAAGCGCTCTGTGGAGGTAAAATAAGGGCAAGTCCTGGGGGAAAAGTCTCACAGCACATGACATACTGACAGCTAGTGGGCAATTCCATCCTACCAGTCCATTTCAGTATCACAACAGCTAATGAGGCAGCATTTTATAGTATGAAAATATCTTTGCATTCCCAGTGTTGCCATTTATTTCAGGCAAAGGTTGGTAAATAGTCCAGAAAACCTCTAAGAGGACTTGTATCACTTTAGGAGCCATGGGAACTTAGGCAGTTCATTTTACCCTCTATTACAATTCTATTCTTTTTACTCTCATGCACTGTCAAAAATATTGGCTTTGTTTATATGAATGACCTCTTCCTACTGCAAATCCTTGGTATGGAAATATAACCTTCAGGAGGATGGACTGAGAGTATCTGATTCTCTTTTAATTTTATGTCTGTGTCTTGGCACACACACACACATGCCTATGATATGGCACATTCTCTATATATGATAAATTGGTAAATAATGGCTATTTGTGGGTGAATACGGAGATGTATGAATGGATTGTCTCTCAGATGCATATTTCATTTGTCAAGGACAACTTGACTGCTCTGGGTAGAGAGTTCATGAGCACCTTCAAATTATGTTCTGCCATTGTCCAATTGCATGATAATCTAAAAATTTTTAATTTTATTTTTGTTCCATTACATTCACCTCTGAAACCTGGTGTGATGTAGCAAATGGGTAAATAACATTTAGAAATTTTGCTTTTTGGTCAATTATCACATACTCACCAAGGATATAAATATAGCTATAAATAACTAAACTTACAACCTCAGTACTGAGGTTATAAATAAAGCTGGCTCTGGGTTAGTTTAAAAATGAGTGTAGGGCCAGAGATTTAGCTCAGTGGAACCACTGCCTGCCTCGCAAGCACAAGGTCCTGAGTTTGATCCCTGGTACCAAAAAAAGGTGAGTGTAATAAAATAGAGATCCAATTTCCATCTCACACAGATCTAATGAATTAGGGTGGGATGTTGACCTTTTTCAGGGGGGGCAGAAAATAACAAAAAGTCTGACTACTGTGACTTCAACAAATAGAACTATACCTTGCACTCAATAATTTGGTGGTGAGGTGTAAGGTTCACAGCATGATTCCATCAATTTTAAATCAGGGCCATGCACTGTGCTATTTTCCTGAATTTATTATCATGTTGAGAAGTGGTTGCTCTGGCTCCAACCAGTGCTTCACTACTCAAAAGAGGAGAAAGAGAGAATAGGGAAATAGGGCACCAGCACACTGTTGCATATGTCTGACCTGCCAGAACTATGTATACGAGCCACTTCTAGCTTTATGGTAATCATATACCTGGAAAATTTAGCTTGTTCAACTCTGTAAAAAGAGGAAGAGAAGAGAGGAGAAATTAGAGATGTGGGTATCCAGGTCAGTCAGCAGAGTCTGCCACACCACTATTCTGGTACCAGTGCTGCTAGGAAATGTAAGTCCTTATCTATGCATGGCAGTAATAAGAACAGGATTCACCAGCATATTTTTTAAAGTTTTCTTAAAAATCCACCTCAAAAAAAGAATGCTTGCTACATATTGATAAGACCTAATGTCTAAAAAGATAAACTGAAATAGACTAAATGCTGATAATTAGTGAGAAAAAAAAGGGAGGACAATTAATAAACAAATATGGGAAAAGTACTCAAGTATTTAAATAATAATGTTCTTTTACACCCAGCAAATTGGTAAACATGTATTTAAATTGATAACATCTAGTGCTGACTTCCTTTATTCCCAAAGCTGCGGGTGTCAAAATGCCTGGTAGAAGTTTAAATTGATTCATCCCTTTTGGGAAATTGTTCAATAACATCTGACATGGTTATGTCCCTTCAGGGATCCATTCCTAATGAACTGATTGAAAATAAAAGTGAAGTTATATATATAAAAATGTAAATTATGTCAGTGTTATATGTAATTATCAAAATCTGAGAGAAATAAAACTCTAAATGTCTAATAAAGGAGGAATCACTAAGGAAATTATAATGGAATAAATTTGATAGGATATAATGAAGACATTAAAAGGATAATTATAACCACCATTTTTTGCAATATGGAAAATGCTCATGCTTTTATGATAGTTAAAGCAAGATAAAATCATGTAATGATGCAATTTATGGTGAAGAGTTATTATTGAAACCAGAGGTAGCTACACCCAAATCTCCCAAACACTTTCAAATATCATTGGTAGGGTTTGCAAATAAGACAGAAACATTGAAGGAGATAGAACTCTTATCAAAAAGAATTTCCACATACTAAAAGCTTTAAGAAATTACTGCTACCTACAAAAATGTCTTAAAAACTAATGTGTGCCAATAACTTGATGGTAAAATTCCCTTTAGCCACTGTAAGATATTCTACTTATCTTTGACACTATATAGAAAATTTAGATTTATTTTCGTTTCTTGTGCATACTTGGAATTTATTGGCAGTATCACTGGTGTTTTGTGCAATTCTGGAAAAATATAATTCACTATCCTTTTGAATACTGCTCTTTCTTATTTTCTGACACGGAAATCAAAAGAGAAATACTTTTGAAGTTATATAATATATTTTTCACTGCACCCTCTATACCCCTTAACTTTATATTTATGTTCTCTATTTCTTCCTTTCATTACAATAAAT